CACAGTACCCCAGAGCAGGCTAACACCAAGTCTATTTGGTTTATCTGGAACCCACTCATCTCGGAGAGCTGTGTTGAGCTGTCAATCTGAGGGCTGTTTCTTTGCACTGAAAGGTGTCTCAGATGAGGCATAACCAGTTCTCATCTCTGGCCTGTCTACAGGAACTCTGGCTCGCTGCTGAGCTTGACCATGTGAAAGGACAACAGTCAGTTAAAACCGATTTGTTCTTGTTTCTGACAGCGAGTTACGTGCTGCAAGATGCATTTTTCCTGTACCAATACCAATAGGTATTGGCGTTTTTCTTCCTTTTCCTTTTTACTATGTGCATTTACTGGCACACAGCAAAATTCATCTTCTGTGAAGGACAGGAGCTCATGCCTAAAGCTCAGGTATTGGCCACCTGAACCCCACAGGCTGCCCTGATTTGCAGCAGTGATTGATGCGTCCATGGAGAGCTTACAGCAGCAGGAACTGCCAAAGGATGGGATACCCCCAACCATGCCCCACCCAGCAGGCAGCTGGGGACTGTGCCAGGGCTGCCCAAAAGCCCTTGGGCTTAAAAGGGATTACCCTCAAACACCTTTAGGTGGGGCAAAAAGGATCACTCTCTCCAATTCTCTTCTGTCCCCTGATTTAAAATATCAGTACACGTTGTCGCCACTGGAGGGCATCACACGAAGCCCTTTCACAAGGCTGCACCCACAGGTTTACACAGTCTATGGCCAAACTGGTTACCGTAATTCTTCAGCATGTCCAGCGTCCTTTCTCACCCAGTCCTGGAGCTGGGAACAAAGGCACCCACGGGCCTGTGAGCAAAAACACACAGGTGAGACAATGCCAAAAGCACAAATGCAACAACAGGCAACACAACAGCCCTGAAATATGGTTTAGTGTGTTCGATTCAAACCAAACACACCCACCATTTTCTACAGAAATGCCTGACTTTGAACTTGCTCCTTCTAATTGCCATTAAAATCTTGTAGGTAGATGAAGTAGGTCCTGACTTTATCTCACAGGCAGGCCTTGTTCCTCCACCATTTAGTTTAGGAGGATAGTATCAGTGGAGTCAGTATGATGTCACTGGCTCCGCTTTCTTAGTCCTCCAGATGAATCTCCGTAAGAAACTCCTGGGAAGCCTCGGGAGCTATGCTCTCCTAGAGGAGACTGCAGTGCCTAACCACCCAGCCTGCCTTCCCGTCCTGAAGGGCAATTCCCTATTCCTGCTCTCAAACTCAGCTCTGTCTTTGCAACTGCCCGGTTCTGTTTCCCAACAGTAACCAACGTTACTCATTAGCAACGCACAGCAAAGCGGCCAGGGGCCACACAAAGGTGAGGCTCTGCCTCCCGTTCAGCTCAGCACCTGCACTCCACTGACCCACTGCATGGTCCTGGGACAGCCCAAGACACAACGCTGACTTTTTGTTAAATTTTCTCTCCGTTGCATTTATGCTGGTGTGCTCAACTGCCAGTATTTATTTGGACTCGGCTGTCCTGGCCCCAGCTTACTTAAACTTTTTCCAAACAGGCTTACATTTTAAGCTTTAGATATGCAAGCAATAGTGAGGCCAAGAACCATTTCATAAAATGGCCATGTGGGGCTGCACTCTCTGCCAAAAGGGTGCTTATCCCTCAGCTGGAGCCGAATTAAAGTGTTTTTCTGCAGACGCAAAGCCGTGGCTCAAACGCAGCACCAGAAGGGCCGCAGCAGTGAAGAGCAGGCTCCCAAGCTGCTTCACAAAACCAACTCCACCGGCAGCCCCTCCTCGCGCAGGGCCGCTGCCCCAGCCCAGGCCTGCCTGCAGGCAGCAGGGCCCGGCGGGGGGCCAGGCCGCGCTTACCTGCCGCCCCGGGGGAAGGGCTGCGGGCAGGTCTGGGCCTCCCC